AAGGATGATGCATATTCAGTACTTTTGCACATATTTAATAGAATACATTTTTGGTCTGAGGGAGGCAGTTGATTTTCATGACTTTTTCATAAATACTGTAGATTTCAGACGCTAAATGCAATGGCACCAGCCCTCAGGTACAACTTTTAGATTAACTTCTTTCTCTCTTATCCCTTGCTAACTGGCCAAGCCGAAACTCAAGATGCTAGTGGAGCCTCTATGCCCAATGTGGAGACTCAGAGCAAGATTGCACTAAATACTGAACTCCATTACAAAAAGACGACAATAAGGCTTTGTAGGGAGTTCACTAAGGCTTGTCTACACATGAAAGCTAATTCGGAATGTTGTAGAGTGTGAATTGAGAGTGGAATAGCTATTCCTAAATGATTCCATGTGCGCTTACTCTTATTACAGAATAAGAGTGGTTTATTTCAAATTTCCTTAATTTAATTAAAAATTACATCAGAAAAAGGCACTCTTATTCCAGAATAAGAGGGTCTACAAATGCAGTTACTCAGGAATAGCTAGTCTACTTTAAATTCACACTCTGCCTTATTCCAAATCAATTTTCATGTGCAGACAAGCTCTAAGCAACTATGAAAGGAACTCAAGCCCTTCAGCCTGGTGGGTGAAGGCTGGACAGACAATTAGCTTCCTGCCATGATCAACCAGCACTACAGGCGTTCTGTAAAAAAAAAAAAATTAGCCATTCAAGGATCTCAAAGCACTTCCTAAAGATAAGAGTTATTTTCATTTAAAAGCTGGGCACAAGAGGATGTGCAGTAGTCTCAATGGAAGTTCAGGGTTCTTATATCTTAAAGCAACTGTCCCTGAGTGAGTTACCCAAGGCCACACAAGTCAACCGGACAGGAATAGAACTCAGCTCTGACTCCCAGTGCCCGCTCTAAATTTGACCAAGCTCCTTCCCTGACAACACAACTCAGTGCTCTCTCTTCCTTCCTGTTCAGGACTGGGATTTCTAACAAAGGAACGTTCTCAATTTCTGGTAAGCCAAAGAGCAGAGTTGCCTGACCTGTTCCTCAACTCTAGTTCCTCGCCTGGAACAAGCAAGGATACCAGTGTGCTCACCTCACCTTCTTTCCATCTTTTTACCATTTATACAGCACCAGTGTGCTAAGTGCTTTAGGAAAAACTTATGACCACCGGCTTCCAGCCCTGTGGCTCCTACAGTCTATTTGTTTTAGGCCTATCACTATGGTATTTCATGTAGAATTCTTCAGCTCAGGTAATTCAGTGTCATCCTCTGCGGAATGTGGAGTAAAATGAGGGTTACAAACATGGGGTTACAGAATTTCAGCGTTTTATTTTTTTTTAATTAAGGCCCAGACATGGAAAGCTTCTACTTAAAGCTAAAGCAACTGACCAAAGTGCCTTCTTCTAGTTGCACATCTAAACTCAAATTTTCAGAATAACTGAAGCCCGAGTACCATTTTCAAAAGCAAGCTAGGCAATTAGGTGCCAACATCACTTTTGAAAATGGATCTCGGCGTTTCTGAAAACGTTGTTCTTAGGGCTATTAAGGGGAAAGAACCGACCAGGTTGCTAGCATGATCAAAAAGTATATTTAATTCTGCCTCGGCACGGGGGCATGGACTCTTGAGGTCTCTTCCAGCCCTATATTTCTCTGATTCCCTGAAAATTAGTCTGACATAGTTTGCCATTTTGACCACCAGTATATTAACCAGAAGAGGTATGAAAAACTATTCATGAGGGAATGAGGGGAGTAGGGTACTAGCAAGAAAAGAGAAATATAAAGTTATATGACAACCCAAAGCAAATTACAAAAATTATATTAAAACAAATTTACATATAGGCCTTCTTCTCCGGGGTATTACATGGTTAACATTTACTGATCCAACTAAAGCGCCATAAACTTGTTAGCTTTCCTTAATCAACTCCAGCATTCCCATTTCAGCAGGGGGCATGCTCAGATAAGAGCTAGCTTTAGTTCCTGTGTGTCTTGCTCATAAAAGCTTGAAGAGAATGTTAAAGCTATTTATGCACACGCCCACTGGGAACCTTCTCTCAGACATAATTGCTTTGAAATAAACTGGGAGTGTGAAGACCTAAAACACACAGCTTTGATATACGGCAAATACATTCTTTCATCAGGATATTTTCCTTGCTGGTTATTCGTTTAGAAGAAACTGTGTCACAGCTAAAATGCACAAATTGGCAAATACAGGATTTCCTTTAAAATGATACGATACATTGAAGGGGTGGGGGATAGGTGGAGGTGGAAGTGAAGGCATCCCTCAAGCAGAGTGTTCTCTAGTAGGCTTGCAGAAAACAAAGCACAGTAGATATAGGACCTAATTCTCATTTACAGCCAGGCCAGAGTAAAGTAGAATAAGTTATAGTCGCACCTATCTTAAGGCCCATGTAAACAGCGGTGTAAAGCAGACAATGTAAATGAGAATCAGGTTCAGTCTTGAACGATTTTATTCTTCTGTCGGATTCTTTAAAGCATAATTCTTGTAACATTGCAAGTGTGTGTGTGTGTGTGTAAGGGGCTTATGCTATAAACAGAACTGATATTAAGAAAGTTTGGCTGTAAGTGGATTTCTCAGTACATGATGACTGAGATTTATTTAACCGCTCAAAGCAGGTGGGGATAACCTTTGTCCTCCTCTCCCAAGATATGAATGATTTATCTGGTGAGCTCTGATTAATTAGAAGTACATATGACCTATAATCTTGTTTCCACTTAGGACAGGTCACTTCAGAAATAGCCTTGACTCCTTTTAAAATATTTTTTGCAGACTTTGGGAGCAGCTCCCAAAGCTCTGTCTTGCTTATTTAGTCATTTTTCAGAGCTATTCCTAGTGATGGTCTAGTGGCCAGGAATCAGAGAGAGAATAATTTAAGAGTTATTAGGAGTTTATTTCATATTGGAGGAGAATGGTGGCAGGCAAGTAGTTTGAAGCCATACTGATGAAAGAAAATCGTGGCAGATCTAATTCCATAGCCTTATAGTTTGGAAATTCTCCTAAAGGAAAAAGCAAACCCAAGGAGTCAAACATTAGCTAATACGGGTCTGATCCTACGCTCCTTACTCAGGCAAAACTTCTACTGTGAACAAGGAGTGCAAGATTGAGCACTAAAAAAGCAGAAGCTAAACTTGTGGGCAAGAATAGGAAATGGAGATTAAACAATCTGATGTAGGTCAAGGGTTACTTGTAGATCAGTTACCACTAGGGGCTAAAACAGCCTGCTCAATACCATCTACTACACTCTACTTCAAATCGCTTCACCTTAATGCTTAATCTTCTCAGCACTAGAAGTTTAGGCCTAGTACAATAAAAATGTAATGCTTGAACAGTGATGGCCTGTATCAAATTTCACATAGCTTGCAACTTCACAGAACTTTTAGGGAGGGCACAAGGTCTGAGAAATTCAAGTTCAAAAGCAAAAGACAAATTGTACAGCACTGGAAAGTAGGGTCAGAAATATGTCCCCAGTTTGCCTTACTTCAATGTGTCTTTTCTTTGATATACTGAAAAAAAAAATTCTTTTGCAGATAAAGTATTTTATTTTTAAAAATACATTTCCGTGTACATGTAGCTGAAATGGACATATTTTTCTTAAGTAGTATTCAATAATCAAGTAGTTTCCTAGCAGCAAAATGCACTTCAAATCTAAAAGCCAATCTCTCCTAAAAACATTTCTGGGGAGTTATTCTGAAGAATAATGAAGGAAGAACTGCTTAAGCTGATTACATCCTGGATTTGTTAAATGTTGCTAAGTATTGTCCAATTTCCTTCGAAGATGTCATCTCTCTACAAACCATCTTCACTCATAAAAAATGCATCAAAATAGTAAAGTCAAGTCTATTTGCTCTTGGTGCAGTAACTAATATTTCCTAACATTACCAATAACATTGGCATATTAATCCACAGACAGACTCTCTAGGATAAACCTTTCACTCTCCCTTTCTGTTTGATTCACGTGATGGTATTAATGTTTTGCCCATGAGAGATTGTGATGTAACAATATAATGTCACAAAGACATACCTCAGGAGGGTAGGAAGGAAACATCTTAGTATCCTTAGATGATTTAAAAAAAACAAAAAAAACCCATACACTATTACAATTATTTTTTCCACTCAACATTGAAGTTTCACACAAAATAGATTTAATATTAAGTCACCTCCATCCAGTGATGTTTAAATAAATATTTTCAACAGCATCCCATGAATATGAATGCCACTTCTCACCCAGCAAAATAAGCACTGCACCAACATTTTCACTTCACTTGTCCCTAAATTCAGGGCAATAGCAAAGATTGCTTTCCAACACCACTCTACAAGTAGTAGAATGACACCTGCAGCATGGAAACCGAAGCTTCTAGAGAGGCTTGGCAATCAGAGCTAATGGAAAAACTAAGTAGATTCCCAGAGCTTCCCAAACCCTTTAAAGTACAGCACTCTTCCTCATCTACCTCCCTTCTTAAATGCTTACCAATATTTTTAGTAGAATTTGACAATTATATAGTTGTATTAAGGTCAAACAAGAAACAATCCTTAATTCAATTTGGAAAGAAAAGTCTTACATTTGCTGTCCAAACGTAAAAGCAGCCAGCACACACTTCATTCTTCCAGATTCAATCAGATTTTATTTTGATTTAGGCTTTTGTTAATTACCCACTGCCATCTGAGCTTAAGTTGATGACATAAATGAATTATCCCATGATAATGTCTATATTTAAAATTAGATTTGGGCTCCATAAATACCTTCCCAACCCCCTATGACTTCCTCCAATAACAACAAGCCTATTTTATATCTTTCATACACAATGCTTAAAAATTGCCGTTAGGAAAAAAAATACAGTAGCGTTTGTCAGCTGGGGATTTCTCTTCCATACATTTGAGCCAGACACTCAATTGAGGGTTAAAGAAAACTGTTTCATAAGATCAAATGGTTAGAAGCAGCAGAGGGGGGGGGGAAGGCAAGTTACATAAAAGTCCAATTGTACTTACAGTCTCCTTATTGGGAAGCAACTCCTTTCGGATCCTGAAGAAGTTCTTGCCGTACTGTCTCAGCCCTTTAATGAAGCGTTTCTGTGTAAAAAGATAAAAACAGAGTGTCAGCAGAGGAAAAAAAATATTTTTAAACAGCAAAATAACCGTTCTCCTCGTAGGGACTGCTGATAAAAGGAGAGAAATGTGCACACATACAACTGAAACCATCAAAAAGGGGAAGGCTTTGAAAAGCACTCTAAAAATTCAGATTTACTTAGAATTGAACCACAAACTTCCAATATTTGGAGCTAAAAAAAACTGCTCAGCCCTTGGTACAAAATGATGCCAGTTAGCGTTCAAGGGTTTGAGAAATACAGTCAGCTCCTCTCCATAAAAATAAATCACAAAAAAAAATCAGCAAAATCTAGTTACAGCTAAGGGAGGGGGAGAATCACACAGACAAGGAGGAAGGAAGAATATGTAACATTGTGATTTTTTTTTAAGTGACTCTCCAATTGGGTGAGGAAAAGGTTAAAAGTCCTTTCACGGGTACATCGCCCCCGCCCCTCACACAAAAAGATCCATGCTACTTTGGTAGAAATAAAAGCAAACGGCTTCCAAATAAATCCCTTCAAGGGGGAAAAATATCGCTGCTTGTTATCCCCCCCCCTCTTTTTTAAGAACAGTTTGGTTTCAAATCCAAGGCAGCAAGAGACTTTCTTCTTTCACTTTGCAATAATCCACTTGGAGAAGAGAAAGCTCCCCCCGCCCCGGGGCTTCTCCTTTGGGGGTGGGTTTTGTTTGCAATTTCCTTGGGTTCAGACAGCCCCTAAAAACAACAGGGGCGAGCGGAGGTTGTTCCATCCAGATTGGGGTGGGGTGAGCCTGAAATGAGCCATAAAAGTCCTTTCCCCGGCTCTGAAATGCGCCTCATTGCAAGCCGGAGCCCGAGTGGTGAATTCGAGCTCGAGCTGGGGATCTCGGCGAGCTTGGCGCGAGCTCTGCCATAAAAAGAATAGTGATCAAACACCCCCAACCCCCGCCAACCCCGGCACCCCAAAGCAGGTCGCCTGCTGCGCTCCCTCCCGCGGGCAGAGCCCCATTCATGCCGGGCGGGCGAGGCGCGAGACCTGGTTCTGTCTCCGGCAGCCACAGGTAAATCCGGCTCAGGTGCCATGCACAGACTCTCCGGAGGTGGGAGGCTGCAGCGCTGCCGAGCGGAGCTCGCTTGTCACTCCGGGGCTCTGACACTACGAAGGGGGAGGGAGGGAGGCAGCGGGCGGCAGCAGCTTAACATGTGATCTCCGCCGGGCTGTGCGGCTCGGGAAGAGAGCCTCGGGTGCGCTGCAAAAGGCGGCCTGGATCGCCTGGGAAGGAGCCCAGCCCGCCGGGCGAGGGGTGGGCAGCTCTCTCCCTAGCGCCCTGCATCCGGCCCGCCGCCCGCCCCCCACGCTTCAAGGCAAGGGGGCCCTGGAAGCATCCGCACGGGGGGCTCTGAGCTCAAGGCGAGCGGTCAGCTTTAGCCGGAGTGGGATAAAGCCCCCTAAAAAGGGGACTGACTATAATTCTCGTGGAGCAGAGCTTGTCTCCCTCCCCAGCAGAAGCGGGTCCAAAGAAAAGATACCCCCTCACCCGCCTTGTCTCTCGAATATCCTGCGACCCACAGGGCTACAACAACAGGCACAGAATTCTGCTCCTGTCATCAGTAAAGCAGGGATCCGAGGGGAAAATCTGGGAATGGATTAAGAGCTAAATCCTTAAACACTGAAGGCGTAACAGAGCGTGGTTAGGGAGGTATTTTCCTCTGCCAATGGGCTTGGTGGGCCAGGAATGACAATTCTTGCAGAGGCCGTGATTTTTGTTTTGTTTGGTTTGGTTTTCATTTTAAAGCCAAGAGGTGAACCAGGGAACGATCTCCTGCCACCCAGCTCTAAATGTTCTATAGCTTCCCAGCCAGTGCACTGGGTTTCCGCCTTGCTTTGATGCATCTATTTCTGTGGTTTCTATGGCTAGTCAAGTTTAACACACTTAGCAGCTTAGTCTGTAGCTCGGGGACCTTTCTGTGGCTTCCCCTTCCCCAGATTAATCTATCTATTCCCTGGCTCTAAACATTCAATAACTTCCCAACCAGGGAATATATTCTTCCTCTCCTGTGTTATTTCCCTATGGTTTGCATCCTCATTTGTTAAATATATTATGACATGCTATTTACCTTGGCCTGCAGCTTTGGGACTTGTGGCTTCCAGTCCTCCCCGCCCCCAAAGAATTTCACAAATAAATCAGTGTAAAAGGATCAGAGCTAAATAATTGGCGACTGGATTGTTAAAGGGGCCTGGACTGAGCTTCCTTTTTTTGCAGGCATAAGAATTCAGGCACCATTATTCGTGAGCGCCAAGTTCTACCTGCAAAAAACTGGGTGACACTGAAAATCTGGACCCTAATGTGTATACTATGGGGGAAATTAAATTAACTACCAGAAAGGTAAGACATGATTTAAGTCAGCTCTCAGCTCTATCAGCCAAATCTGGCCTAAGTGCTGGCAGATGAGCAAAGTCTCCCCCACACCATGGAGTGGGTGAGGAACTATCCCACAGAAACTAGTTCAGCCCACTGAAATATCCCACCATAGGGTAGAGGATCCATACAGCAGGGGATCTTCTGAGCCCTGCACCTCTCTTCACTGTGCTGCAGGGCAGGCAGCCCCTGTGGAATTAACCACACAAATCCCTTGCTTCCTTGGCAGCAGAACGGCTTTGGTTCAATGGTCAGGGAACCCTTCTTTGGTGCGTAGGCAGGAATGATCAATGATTTGCACGTTGAGGCTGGACTCCCATCCAAGAGTTGAATTACTCACACCCATTTACTTCTTTTCAACCACGGGATCACGTCTCCAAATGGTGTCACAAGAGAACAGTAAAAGTGCCGGGGACAGGGGTAATAAAAGCACTCCGGATCCTGAGCAAGGAATCTTGACTATAAAGGAAGACACCTGCCTTTAGACAAGAACACCTCTACTATGTAATGGGACTGGTCCAGTGTGTTCCTCTGAGCCAGTGAGTCCCAACCCATGGCCCAATCAGCACACAGCTGCAGTCCATGTGACATCCTCAGGGCCATACAGATAGTATTGGATGCGGCCCACCTAACACATTGTGGAACACATATGCAGCCCACAATGATAAAAAGCTTGAGAACCACTGCTCCGAGCACTACTCATACTGGTGTTTCTCCTGGCTTCAGTGTCAGTTAATCAGGGGCACTTCACACTGTCAGAGAAGCCATTATCCCCCATCACGGTGAACACACTCCTCACATTATGTGCTTCGACTGCAGAGAAAGATGGCAGCCGTAATGGGAGGACTATAATGCCCAAACGCCAGCCCCTATATCCCACAGTGCACTGCAACGTACCTATACAACCAGCAGCGTAGGATGAAAATCAGCCAAATCAAGAAGTATGTGCCAGCATGTAACCCAAAGCGCTTCACAGCTCTTAACAAAAACACTCAGTATGGCTCTGGGCTGGAAGGTTTTTAGTTTTCTTAACGTCACTGTCACCATGCATTGCATTATAGGCACTATGCATTTGCAGCATCAGGTAACAGAGTACGTTTGAAATTTCAATATAAATAATTTCACAGAAATATTAGTGTGAAGAAAGTAGTTCCAAAGAGGGTCATCATATAGACACAACTGTTCTCTTTAACAGAACAATCCATCTATGGAAGAGCAGGGCCAGTGCAAAATGTCAGAGCAACCTGTGGTCCAAGGCACAGGGTTGGAAGACATGGGTTCTACTCCCAGTAATTCCACTGACTCACTGGGAGACAATGGGCAAATGGACTCAGTTTGTCCATCTGTAAAAGGGAACCCCTACCTCCAAAGCATTTAGAAAACCTACAGCTGAACTTTCTAAACAAGTGCTAAGTGTTATAATTCTTCCACTTTCCAGCCTACTCTACACCACTCCTCAAACTAAATACAACCCTTTCTGCAAAAGGAACCGTTTGAAATACCTAATTTAGCAAATTCACCACAATAAATTTAATAACAGGAAATGTCAGATGCTAAATTGGAGATACTGAATAAAGATACCATTGCAGACTTAACCTGTTATCAAAGGCACTTAATGGCATTTTAGTTGTGTTTAATCACCACCTGTAAAAAAAAATTTGGGGGGGGGAGGTAAAACAAAGTACATTTTCACTGTGGAGTGCAAAGCCTGATGAATTATGTTCTTCATTCACTTTACTTGGTTGTGATGTTTTTTTAAAAAAAATGATGAATGGTATGGGGAGAAGGAGCTTTTTAAATAAGTAATTCTGAGTTGACAATTTTTAGTTATTTCATAACCAACTTTTTCACATTTTCCATCTTTTCTGATTAAATTTTGCAGTAAAAAGCAATCCCAAATTCCTTCCCATCCTGTTCATGAGATGCCAAAAGTACCTATCATGAATGTAAATGTGGGATATCCTATCTCAACAGCAACAGTGGGTTAGACAATGCTCTATTTCCAAAGCTTGATTCATTTCAATTTTGTTGACATTCTGAAACCTCTACCAATCACATGGTTTGCTCACACTTCTTGTCTACAGGTATGGTCTGATAGGCTTCACCATTCAACCATTTCAACCACACGAACTGACCTAATGCTTATTCAGTGGAATTGGCATGGGTAATAAGAGTACAATTTAAATCTTTAAATCACTACTGGATGTTTTTCCAAAAGACATGATCTAGGTCAACCACAAGTTACTAAACTGGACACAAGAATCAATGGGTGAAATTCTCTTACCTGTGTGTTATTCAAGTGGTCAAACTATGTGGTCACAACAGCTTTAAAATCTATGAATAGGGTAGACACTAAATAGTTAAGAAACAACTTCATACACCAACAGTAATCTCCAAAATGAAATGGTAAATTTTAACTATAGCTTCCTTCTACAAGCATACCATTGTGTAATAAAACTGAAACCATCTTACACTTCTCATTGTTACTTAAAAAAACATGGTGGGTATTAAAAGAAAACTATAACTAGACATTACAATGACAACACCAGGTGTCCAGCCTGGACTTTGTACAAACTGGAAGGGAA